CATGAAGCTATTATCCCACCAATTCAACGAAACGTTATATTATGGCTTTGATTTCTCCCGAATGGCGTTTACGTAAGTGACCCTTCGAGGCGCACGTTGGCTTTGGGGATCGGAGTATCCATGGTCCAAAGTAACGCATTGGTTTAAACTTAAGCCAGTGCCCTTCTCAATAATGGGCTCTTGCCGCCCACTTGGCCAATCACAAACATTTTTTTTTCGCACTAGTACAGATACGCGCGGCGGTTGTCATGACGACGGTGTTCATGACTGCAGAAAATAGGGTTAGTTCCGTTTCCAAGTGTTGATAGTGTAACTTAGACCCTTAGACTTTTTAAATGCAATGTTTCTCAGCTAAAGATGTTGAAAGAAGCATCAGATATGATGAAGCAAGCTCACTGGTGACTATTGGCATACTTTAAATGAAAAAGGCTGCTCTAGATAATCCAGTTCATCCCTTTAGATTATGTTCGTTATTTTCTCCCATACGCCATTGTTTACGTCATCACACCTTGCACAACTTTGAGGGAGAGCCGTTGTATCGGGAAGTCGTGCTCACGAACGCCAGATTTGAACGATTCGACTATTACATTTTTTAGCCTTGGTCGCCACATGGTCAGTGGTATGGTGGGATTTAATTGGCATTATTATAGCGTCATGGATCACCGGGTGACCGTGAATAGTCTCCCGGAAATACTCTGCACATATTCGCGGGCGTGTAACTCAGGATCTAGAAAGGCTTAGGTCTTAGGAAGGGCAAGCCCGTGGACTGCGCCGAATGATCAGCAAGATGCTAGTTCAGTTTAAAGCTTCATGCAAATATGAAACACTCCCTGTATATTTTCGGATTTCGTACGGTTTAAGCAGACGTGGAAATGCTCTTTGTTCCGCAAAACAACGTTCCAAATTTCGGCTACATTTCAGTCTAAATCTAAGCGTCTTAATTTCGTTTTGGCTTCAGTCTCGTGATTTTAACTGATTCTGCTTGCCTTCGTGTTTCCTTAGTACGTAGGCCCTGGCTATGACTTCGGCTTCGCGTGTACGAAGTTGAAGCCATTGGCTTTTAACTTCGGAGAAGGCTCTTCGAGAGCTTACGCCAATGACTTAGCGGTTTCCGAAAATCACGTATAGCGTGATATCCCGAGCTTTTCATTTCGCGGAACAGCATCGTTATTAGTTTTTTTATCTGTGGGCACCCAGCGCTGCAAATGTAAGCCAGCTGTCGGCGAGGATTATCAGTAGTGCATTTGAAGACTTAGTCTGGACTTATGCACATCCGGAGACTCGGAGCTCTCGTTGAATTCGGTGTATGAGTCATTCCTACGCCCCACTCATTTTGCACACCTTTCTCGGTGCCACCAGGTGCGCTCATGGCTCCGAGACACCGCAGACGTACACTGTGACACCGGTGACTCCGGCAACCGTTCGTCTTACCGGTCCAGGGCTCCTGCATGTGGCAAGGGGGAGGGGGAGGGGGGGTATCCACTGCCGCATTCAACACAAATGGCACGACAGCTTGGAACTGGTTTGACGAGCCTCTTACCGTCTCGTGACATCGGGGCTCCTCCCAAAAGCACAGTAGCAGTGGGAGCGGTGGAAAATCCCCTGTATCTCGGGTTGGCTTGGCCAATGTCTGTCTGCACTCCCACGTACCCCTTCCCTCCCCACAACTGTGACCCGTGCGAAGGGGGCCTGTGCGGCCCTTGCCCGCCGCCTGAGTGGGTGTTGCCGATCACTGACGCTCGTGACCGCTGACCGGTGGCAGTGCGGACCGGCCGACGACGTGCCCGAGCTGGACTTCGTGTACGCCGACGCCGACAGCGCGGCCCGCGAGATCGCCGAGCTCTACAGCTTCACTGAGCTGCCGGAGTTCGGGCTCAACCACCAGGTGGGCAGGGGGCGACCGCGGCCGGTCAGGGCTGAGCGGTCGGTCCGGATCGTCAGATGGGCACTCAAGGACCGCCGCCGCTCGAGGCAGGGCGGGCTGGACACGTGTCGGCGCGGCGTGCGCGGTGGGGTTCGCGTTTGTCAAGGTTTGAGCGTTTGGTCAAGGATGCACCGCGGCGCGGTGTAGCGGATGTTGTTGGTCAAGGCAGGCCTTATTGGTCAGAGCGACGGTCAACGGACACGCGCTTTTCTGTCGCCGCACGCTTCTTCTTCGAATGCCTACACTTCCCCTTCTTGAAGCTATACGGCAGTGAACGACCGGAGCCCGCTGACCGTGCGGTTTGACCATGTCCCGCGGTCCATTGTTTTCGGCAGGAGCGTGCCTGTCGGCCGAGGTCCGGTTGTCGCGGTTCGATGAACCGGGTCGTGTTTGCCGGGAGTCCGGGCGGCGAACCAAGCGTCGCCGCTCGGTTCGCTTTGCCTGTGATCAGCTGCCGGCTGCACTCGAGCGACCGTGAGACTTGGACTGTTCGACACATGCCTGGCCAGCATCCGTGACTCACAGCTCGCTGAGATTCCACGCACACAAACAGATACGGCTGTGGGGCGTATACGTGGCGTCCGACGACTTGACTGTCCGTGACGCCGGCGTGTGATCCGCTGCCGGCAGTACCTCACCGACACGGTGCTGGAGCTGGGGCTGGACGTGCGGTGGGCCGATATGTCGGACGCGCAGCGCACCTCCGTCGTCATGAAGCTGGTCGACAAGGTGGAGCTGGCCAGACGGGATGACCGGCTTAAAGGTGGGGACGAGCGCGGTGGAGGACCGGGGTGAGGATCTCAAAGGTACGGACGAGCGCGGTGGAGGACTCAGGTGAGGGTTTCAAAGGTGAGGACGAGCGCGATGGAGGACTCAAGTGAGGGTCTCAAAGGTGGGGACGAGCACGGTGGAGGGCTCAAATGACGGCTGCGAAAGCGGAGGCAGGCGCAAGTGGGGGGTTCGCCATCAAACCCCGGAATTGAGTTCACGAGCAAAGCAGCGGTAAGCAGTGTGAACGCCTGGAAAAATCGGCAGTGGCCGGCGTGAGTGACGCAACTCACGCGCTGTAAGGCTGCACGTGGCATACCGGCACGTAGCTGAGCTGCATGAGCCCCGCTGACGCTCGCGGCCGTGGCGCGGCTTGGCCTCGGTGGGGGCACCTCTGGAGTGACGCGGCGCCATGTGAGCGGGGCATTGCTCCGGCCGCACGCGGCGCCATGTGAGCGGGGCATTGCTCCGGCCGCACGCGGCGCCATGTGAGCGGGGCGTTGCTCCGGCCGCACGCGGCGCCATGTGAGCGGAGCATCGCTCTGGAGTGACGCGGCGCCCTGTAAGCGGTCGGCTTGTGGCCTGTTCCAGCCTGTCGCGCCATCCTGTACGTCAGCCAGGGCTGCTGGGCCGACCTGGCCACCGAACCAGAGGTGCGCGCCTGGTCCCGGCGCAACGTCTTTCTGCTCTACAAGTGCGGCGTGCTGCCTACGCTCGTCGACATCCTCCAGCTGGAGATCGAGTGAGCTGATCCGGGGTGACGTGGCGGCGTATAGGCGCGGTCAGCGCCGGGATGTGCCATGACAAGCACGAGCTTATTGTGCTCGGTGATCTGTGTGGTTGTATACTGCTGGTGCTTGGGTTGCTGTGAGTTTTGGATGGCCGTGACGCTGGCGTTGGAGAGGGAGACGGGGATTGACCGATGATTTGTGTTTTTCGTGTGGTTTGCGAACATATGCCTTAATTTTTTTTCCAGGAACCAACGATTGCAATTGATTGATGTCAAATGTTAGCGATGTACAACGCCTAGACGCTAAATACAAGTTCGGATACGTTCTATGTGTGCAGTCAGGTAGCTCAACGCTCTGTCTTGTTGTGAACGCCCTTGTTCGCCAGCAGCGTTGGCGAATCCGCTCCTAGCCGGGACGACATGTCCACACACATGTAGAGCGGCACAGCTCTGACACAGCTCTGACCCGCTCTGACCCGCTCTGACCCCGCTCTGACCCCGCCCTGACACAGCTCTGACCCCACTTTGACCCCGCCCTGTATATCAGGAGCGGCACGGCCCCGGTGACGGCGCTGCGCAAGCTGGCCGTCTCGCTGGCCGACTCCAGCGACCTGCGGGTGATCCTGAGCGTGCTGTACCTGATGGTGGAGCAGATGCGCACCGACGGGGGCGACGACACGCCGGAGGAGGCGCGCCTGCGCCAGGCCTTCGCTCAGGAGCTGGGTGGGTGAGGTGGCGCCACCTGCTCGAGCGTGCTCGCCGGTGGACCGGTCGCTGTCCCGCCGTCTGGCGGCCTCACTTCAGCGGCCGGCTTCGGGAACATGCACCGCGTGTTGCCCTCTTACATCGCAGCAGGAGGGTGCTGTGTCTTTTCCCAGCAGGGACAAACTTCACGACAGATCGCTGTGTCGGCAGTCGGTGATGATTTGCGTTTCAGAATGCCGCCTGCGTGGTCGTAATGTTTCATACGCGATGTAAGGTTCTTCCAAATGAGGTTTGGATTCCCCCCAGTAGTGGCGAAGACGACCCAACGTCATTGGAATACTCGTGAAGTTGTACGAATATTGACAACTGAGAAGACATTGAGTCGTGATTTGTCTTGTCACGTTGCACGGCCCTTTTCATGGCTTGTCTGATGGTGATCTCCATCGGAGCTGTGCCCTGCTGGAAGGCCACGATCTTCGACCGTCTGCAACCCTGACCCGCACGGCGTCTTCTGGCGGTAACGCCGTATCTCCATCCCGCCCCCAGGTCAGCCGCAGGACACGGCGAACTGCTGGCCGTCACCCTGCTGGGCATGGTGGTCTCGCTTTGCAGCGGACGCCGCGCCTCACTTCCCCATAAGAAGGTGCCTGCTCGTCACTTGTGAAGGTAGAGCCGCCGACGCCACCCCCCGCCGGCCGCCGGCGCCGGTTAGTGTGAAGCTCGGGCGTGACCTGCTTCCCCCCTTCCCGCGCCGGCGGCCGGTTTGCCGGTCATCTGGAGTGGGGCACACGCCCCAGCTCGAACCCCAACACACACCCAACAACCTGCCTGCTCGCCCCCCGCCCGGCTGCCCGGTGCCGGTCATGTGGAAGATGGGACGTGACCTGGTCCTCCTCCCGCCGGCCTGCCGGTGCCGGTCATGTGAGCTGGGACGTGACCTGGTCCTCCCCGCCGGCGCCGGTGCCGGTCAGGTGGAAGCCGTGGGCGTGACCATGGTCCTTCCCCCGCCGGCTGCCCGGTGCCGGTAATGTGGGAGATGGGACGTGACCTGGTCCTCCCCCGCCGGCTGCCGGTGCCGGTGTGGAGCTGGGACGTGACCTGGTCCTCCCCCGCCGGCTGCCGGTGCCGGTCATGTGGAGTGGGACGTGACCTGCTCCCACCCCCCCCCCCCCTCCCCCCGTCGGTTGCTAGCGCCGGAGGGCAGCGAAGCTGAAAGCTTCCCTAGGGACTTGCGGGGGGGACGGTCCGCAGCCTAATGTCCTATAGAGGATGTGGGAGTTTGCCGTATGGTCTCTTGACGCCATAGGATGTACGGACATGGGTTTCTTTCTGCTTTCCCTGTTTTATCTTCAGCTATTGCAGAGAGTTCCATTGCATATACCCGCCAGCTGTCCTGTCCCAGCCCATAGGCGGATCCGGGGGGGGGGGGGGGCACGGGGCCATGTCCCCCAAAAACTGAGAGTATGTTTTGGCCCCCCAGGAAACATCCCCAGAACTTCATACAAGTTTCGTCTACTTGCCGTCTGTTTTAACTTTGATTGGTGCGGTAGCAAACAGTTCTTTCCGTTCCGGAAAAACTTCATGAAGAAAAGTGGCAGCGATTTGAATATCAAACTAAAACGCATGTTGACGCGGCTTAGTCATGCTCGGCGCAGACATCGTATTTGATAAGTGCACTGGACGTCGGATCCCACGCAGCCAGCTGGCCACGAACGGTTGCACCCCCCCCCCCCCAACTCCAGGCCAGATTCGCCCCTGTCCCAGCCTGCTGACCGTCCAGTCCCACACCCAATCTACTCGCCGGCACTACTCCTTTCTTTTCCGCCACGTTGTCCGTCTTCTACTGACCTAACCTCCCATCCTCAGGTGCTGCTGCTGAACCTGGGCGGCTCGGCCCGAGCTGCGCCGGCTGCGGACGACGGCGCGCGCCGCCGCCGGCCTGCCGGACGTTCCGAGGACACGGTCGAGCGGACCCGCACCATGCGCGCCTCCAGCCCGGTCATGGCGCCCGCAGACCTGTTCGACCCCAACCGCGCATCGGCCCAGGTTTACCAGGGTCAGTGGCGGCAAGAGGGCTCCGTATCGTCCGGGGGTCGAGGGGGGCTGCAGGAACGGATGGGCTGTGGGAGCCACGGGCTCAGGCCAGCTGTGGAGGGGGTATACGCTTTTCAGGCTTTGTGCCCAGAGCCGTGTGATTTTGGGCACGTCTGGGTTCGTATGTACATGTGCCCGCGCGTGTGTGCGTGTGTGTCCACGTCCACTGGTCTGAGAAGGTTGCCCAGCCGTGTGGACAGCGTCACTCGCCTGCCTCGGCCGCTCCCTCTCCCGCGCCGTGACGTGACGTCCTCCGCGGCCGGCCGGCTGGCGTCCTGACCGGCCCGCCGCGCCGCCGGCAGTCGAAGGTGTCCAACGTGGACCTGCAAGACGAGCTGGCGTGCAAGATGGCCGCGCTGGAACGGCGCGGAGCCGGCGCAGGACGAACGAGGCCGCACCGGGGGCCGAGCGGGACCGGAGCCCGCCGCGCGCTGCGACTCACCCCGGCCCGCCACGACCCGTCCACCACGGCAGAGGTGGGCTCGGGCCGGCCGCTTGCAGGGGGAGAGGGGGGGGAAGCCGGGCCGCCCACTGATTGGTTGTCGGGTGACGAGTCCGCACCGGGTGTGACTGTCGGCAGTTGGTTACAGCCCATGGTTCAAGTCATCAGGTAGTGTGCTCTGTCTTCTGCTGGTGCGCAGCCCCGTGCCGCGAGTTTGTGCTCCGATGTTGTAATGTTTCTTTGGTAGCGGTCTTTCTCGATCTTTAATTTCGACGCATGCAATATCCCAAACGTTCCAACTGGCCAAGGACGTGTTCCGTGACGGTGCCGCCTTCGTCGGCAGCGCTGCCCTGGAAGCCGAAGGTGCATCAGCGGGACATCGAGGAGTACCTGACCGTGAGCCGGGAGAAGTTCGTCGGCTACCGTGTGGAGGACGACCTGGAGACGAGGCGGCCGGCCGCAGCAATCCTGGAGGGCCGCAGATCCTCGAAAGGGGGTCCGTCGGGGGGGCGCCGCAGTGACGAGTGTAGTCCGTCGGGGCTGGGCGTCAGCCGCTGACAATGTGAGCCCGTCGGGGCGGGGTCAGCCGGACAATCTGAGTCCGTCGGAGCTGGGCGCCAGCCGCTGAAAGGTGAGCTAAGTCTGGAGCTGGGCGCCAGCGCTGACAGGTGAGCCCGTCGGAGCTGGGCGCCAGCCGCTGACAAGGTGAGCCCGTCGGAGCTGGGCGCCAGCCGCTGGTGCCGCTGCGGCAGGCGGAGGTTTGGGTAGCTGGGCTGACTCGTGCCCTGTTGCATCACTGTGTGGCCGTTTGGATGTTTTATGTTGTCGTAGTTCAGTTGAGCTATATTCGATGGACGGTTGGGGGGGTGTCAACCACAACAGAGTAATGCGATGGGACCGGTCTGAGTGTCGGGGCGTCTCGACCGTGTCCGGCCGGGAGTTGTTGCCATGGGACCGGTCTGAGTGTCGGGGCGTCTCGAGCGTGTCCGGCCGGGAGTTGTTGCCATGGGACCGGTCTGAGTGTCGGGTCGTCTCGGGCGTGTCGGGCCGGGTGTTGTTGCCATGGGACAGGTCTGAGTGTCTGGCAGTCTCGAGCGTGTCTGGCCGGGTGTTGTTGCCATGGGATCGGTCTGAGTGTCGGGTCGTCTCGGGCGTGTCCGGCCTGGTGTCGTTCTTTGAGTCTCGTGTGCCGGTTTCTTTTAGGTTGATTTGCGTCTCCTGACGGCACGATGAGCCCCCTTTCCCCCTGTGCCCCCTTCCGTCCCAGTCCGTTCATCCGTCTCTTTAAAGGCAGTGTTCCATATTCGTAGGAGGCTTTAAACAAAAAGAGCCAGCTTGCAGATCATTCGGCGCAGTCCGCAGCCCTGGCCTTGTTAAGACCTAAACATGTTTAGTTTCTGAGTCATACGCCCGCGAAATGTGCAGACTATTTGGGGAGAACTTTCAACGTCACCCAGGAATCCATGCTGCCATAATGACGCCATCCAAATTCTGCCCTTCCATTAGCCATGCGGCGATCAAGGCCAATGAAAGTATAGCTGCCGAGTCGTCCATATCTGGCGTTTGTGACCACCACTTCCAGATATAATGGGGTGGTGATAGGCCTCAAACACTGTTGTGCAAGGCACGATGACGTACTCAAACAGTGACGTATTTAGGAGTTGTGTGCTAAACAGAGAAATGTGTTGTCTAGAGCGTCTTTTCCACTCGCAAGCATATCAGTTATTGTATATGAGCGTCCTTTATCATATATGATGCTTGCTTCAGTATCTTAGAATGTGAAACATTTTCTTTAGCAAACACTGGTACCGTTCCCCTGTGAAATTGCATATTCGGCGAGCGTCTGTACCGGTCCCCAATTGGTCTGTCTCTGCCGGCAGCACCTGTACCGCGTCTCTGGCCGAGGTGGCAGACGGAGCGGGAGGAGGAGATCAGCCAGAGCCCCTTCAGCCGGCCCGAGACGGACGTGCCCCAGACTCCCGCGAGGCTGCTCTCTCGGTGGGTGGGCAGACGCCAGGCACCTGAGGGCGTTGCCCGGCACCTGAGGACACTGCTCGGGACCTGAGGGCGCTGCCCGGCACCCTGAGGGCACTGCCCAGGACCTGAGGCCACTGCTCGGACCTGAAGGCACTACTGGGGACCTGAGGGCATGCTCGGGACCTGAGGGCACTGCTCGGGACCTGAGGGCACTGCCCGGGACCTGAAGACACTGCCCGGGACCTGAGGACACTGCTCGGGACCTGAGGGCACTACTCGGGACCTGAGGGCACTGCTCGGGACCTGAGGGCACTGCTCGGGACCTGAGGGCACTACTCGGGACCTGAGGGCACTACCCAGGACTCGAGGGCACCGCCCGGCGCTTGAGTGTACTGCCCGGCACCTGAGAGCATTGGCTGGACCCTGGGAACACTGTTCGGCACCTGAGGGCACTGCTCGGCGCTGGCCACCCCTGTGTCTCGGAGGAGCAGGCGTAAGCGCTGTTGTTCTTGGGGAGAGATGCGTAGAGGCCAGGCCTGTCCATCGCTGGAATAGGCGGATCACCGCTGGTCCGTCCTCCGCTGGAGCGAGCAGCGAATGCTGCCCTCGCGCGGCCCGAGCATGTGGCCACTGCCCTGTGGAATGAACTGGCCGTGGTGAATGGCAATCTGTCGGTGAAGTGGGCGGAGGCCCGTGACCGCTCGTCCTGGGCCAGGGTGGGTCGCTGATTGACTGGGAGGGGGGTGTGGGGTGAGGGGGGGCAGAGAGACAGACGACCGTTTCGGGAAGGAGCAGTGGCACGCGGAGAGAACGTGTTGCGCCGTCCAGTCAATGGTAGGATTTCCCTGTGGCGAGGGGTACTTAAGCAGAGTTTCATCAGGCATGTTTCTGCTACTCTGTGCCAGTGTAAATGTTTGGTTAAATGCTTTGTTAGTGCGACCCAGGTGCAAAGGTTTGTCATTCAATATCAAAATGCATGGAACTATTGTAAACGGCATTATTCAGACTCGGCGTAGCACGTATACAATAATGTCACCAGCAATGATCGCCGGGACCGTGGAGTACGCTCATGCAGTTTGCCTGAAGGCTCGCCCATTTATTAGCTCATTGGACGCGGACTGATCAGACATGAGCTGTGGATCCATCAGACCGATCTGACCGGCTCGCGGGCGGATCGGTAATGGCTGCCGGCCGGTGGCTGGTAGGAGCTAACAGCTGGCCAGACCTCTGACCCGACGGCTGACCCCGGCCTTGCGCCGCCGCCGCCGCAGGGTATGCTGCCGAGTTTGCCGCAGTACATGATCGCGCTGCTGAAGGTGCTTCTGGCGGCGGCGCCCACCTCCAAGGCCAAGTCGGACTCGATCAACATCCTGGCCGACACGCTGCCCGAGGAGATGCCGTAAGTGCCGTGGGCGTCAGTTAAACGCCACCTGAATCTAGGGGAGGACGTGCAGATCAATGACGTTCGGTGTCGTTTGCGTCACGTTTTTAGCTGTAAACTGATGTCGCCGTCCCTGCCTACCGCCCGGTGCCCTTGGCATGCACGCGCCGTGCCGTGTGTGCTGCTCTCCGTGTCTGGGGCCGGCGTCACGGCTCGCACCTGCCCGTCGCTCCGCCGCCGGCCCGTGTCCGAGCCGGGTTGTGACACTCCGCCGCCGTCCGTGCCGTGTGCGCTGCTCTCCGTGTCTGGGGCCGGCGTCACGACTCGCACCTGCCCGTCGCTCCGCCGCCGGCCCGTGCCCGAGCCGGGCTGTGACGCTCCGCCGCCGTCCGTGCTGCAGCATGTCGGTGCTGCACTCGATGAAGCTCGGCATCGACGTCAACCGCCAGAAGGAGGTGATCGCCAAGGCGGTGTCTGCCGTGCTGCTGCTGCTGCTGAAGCACTTTAAGCTGAATCACGTCTACCAGTTTGAGTTCGTCAGCCAGCACCTGGTGTTCGCAAACTGTATCCCGCTGGTGCTCAAGTTCTTCAACCAGGATAACATCGTGCAGTATGTCACCGCCAAGAACAGGTGAATGTCTCGCACGCGCGCTGAAGCTCTGTTGTTGGCGGTGGTGTGGTCCTTGCTGGAGGGGTTTCAAACTGTCATTTTTTTTTATTTATATGGTGGCCTGCGCATCGTGCGATTGCGGCGAACAGACTCCTAAGTATGATATGCTATTATGATTCGGTAGTGTGTCTCAGTTGCAATAAGTTGAATTATTGCCTGTTCCTTTGGGTGGACATCTTATATATCGGTGATTACTGTGCTCTGCTCACTGATGGGCTGTGCAGTATATCGTTTGTTTATTTGAAATACGGCGCGAAATCGTTAAGCCCGGACACCTAAGTAAATGATTGTCATGTGTCACCCCAGTTAGCATTCTACATCGTGTTTCCGCCGTTCTCGCTGGCGGTGGCCACTGCGCTCCTGCCTCGCTGGCAGCCGCCGCACCCCTGTCTCGCTGGCGGTGGCCGCTGCGCTCCTGTCTCGCTGGCGGTAGCCGCTGCGCTCCTGTCTCGCTGGCGGTGGCCGCTGCGCCCCTGCCTCGCTGGCGGTGGCCGCTGCGCCCCTGTCTCGCTGGGGGTGGCCGCTGCGCTCCTGCTTCGCTGGCGGTGGCTGCTGCGCCCCTGTCTCGCTGGCGGTGGCCGCTGCGCTCCTGCCTCGCTGGGGGTGGCCGTTGCGCTCCTGCCTCGCTGGGGGTGGCCGCTGCGCTCCTGCCTCGGTGTGCCGATCGCTCACCGTCTTGCGCCGGCGCTGCAGTATCCTGGCGCTGGACTTCCCGCGCTGCGTGCTGGGGCCGCAGCCGGAGCTCACCTCCGAGTCGCTCCAGCTGGGCGACGAGCAACCCTTCTGCTGGCGTAATGTCTTCACCAGCATCAACCTCCTGCGCATCCTCAACAAACTCTGCAAATGGAAACACTCCCGCATCATGGTGAGCACGTGCTATGTGTTGCGAATAGCGATGCTCAGTTGCTTTGGATTTGCAGACTGAAGACCATGGCCATCCTTCTATACGGTTTCTACTTTCCTGAAGGCCTGCCTTGTATTCGATCTCATGAGTGGACCCGTCACAGTCCGCTGTAAAGTGCGCACTGCCCAGTGTGTGGGGTCTGACCTGGTCCCACCGCTGACCACTTACGTGCCTTGACACTGCGTGCCGCGTTCCCAGATGCTGGTGGCGTTCAAGTCGGCGCCGATCCTGAAGAAGGCGCTGCGAGTGAAGCACGCCATGATGCAGGCGAGTGGCTCTGGCTGTGCGCTGCTGGCTGGGATCCAGCCGGCGGCGACGCGTGCCATAAGGCCTCTGACGATAAACCGAGACGATTCTCCACACGAGTAGTCACACGAGTTCATGTTCACGAAGCTTGTCATATTACGTGGTCAGTTGACAGACTGGCTTGCGGGCGGCGGGTACAGGAACTCGGCAGGGCGTGACTGACGGGCCCGGGGACACGGGACTGTAAGCGGCCTGAGGGTGGCCCGGCGGCGCGCCCCTGATGCCTGACGCCGCCGCCGCCGCCGCCGCGCAGGTGTACACGCTGAAGCTGCTCAAGATGCAGACCAAGTACCTGGGCCGGCAGTGGCGCAAGTCGAACATGCGCACTGTCAGCGCCATCTATCAGAAGGTGCGACACCGGCTGGTGGACGACTGGGCCTTCGGCAACGGTGAGCGGACTCGGCGGCGGGCGGCGGAGCGGCCGGTGTGAGGGCGGCCGGGCCGGTAATAGAGCTTGGATGGCGGGGGGGGGGGGGTAGGCTGGCCACAAGCGGTGGTCGCTTGAGTTATGTGTGTCGGACTGAGCCGATGCCAGGCCCGAGCGGTGAAGTCGATACTGATCGGAGACGGGATGCGTGTTGGTGTGCACAGTGCTGCTGGGACCGAGTCCCGAGGCTGACTTTGCTGGTCTGGTGTGGTGTTGTTTTCCAGACTCTGACTTCTCGCGCCTGTGTACCTATTACCGCGGCGGTGAGTCCCTCTGCGGGGACGGCGGACGGCGACGGCACTCTGTGGCCGCTCCCAGGCCTGGTGACCGGGTCACTGTTGCTTGGGTCGTGTGTGGCGTCGGACGCTGGGGCGCTGTAGACTAGTCGGGCTGTCGCTGACGGGCCTGTCGTGACCCCTGTGTTCCGGAGCCGGCGTGCTGGCTTGCTTGTGATCAGCGTCACGAGCAGCTCAGGTGATCCGCGGCTTCTGTTGGAAAAAGTGGTTTTGAGTGCCAGACCTTGTGTCGGTGGTTCCTCCCCGTGGACAACCTAAATGAGAGCGGTGCCAAAGGGATGTTTTCGTCGGATTCCTTTTGTCAACTTTGTCTTCGTCGCGATGGGCTATAATGGGTGCTCGTGTAAACTACACCATTGTCTGAGAACACACTGCTCTTTGTCATGTTTTGTTCACATGTGTGACTACGTTTTCAGCTTCTGTGATATGTCATCAGACTTTGTCTCTGATACTGCCTGGGTCTGCGTATGTTACGTCTGCCTGCCTGGATTTGACGGTGTATTTGTGTCGTCTGCATGAGCCCAGTCGCAGCTCAACTGGACCACCTGGCCAGTGCCCTGAACGCCATGTACGGTTCATGGCCGTGTCTTCATACCTTTCTGTGGTTTGTTCGGGCCGCGCAGTTATGTGTCAGCCATCCCCTGGACAGAGAACGGCGCACTGTCGCAGCCATCCCCTGGACAGAGAACGGCGCCTGTCGCAGCCATCCCCTGGACAGAGAACGGCGCCTGTGGCAGCCATCCGCTGGACAGAGAGTGGCGCCTGTGGCAGCCATCCTCTGGACAGAGAACGGCGCACTGTCGCAGCCATCCCCTGGACAGAGAACGGCGCACTGTCGCAGCCATCCGCTGGACAGAGAGTGGCGCCTGTGGCAGCCATCCGCCGGACAGAGAACGGCGCACTGTCGCAGCCATCCCCTGGACAGAGAACGGCGCACTGTCGCAGCCATCCGCTGGACAGAGAACGGCGCCTGTCGCAGCCATCCCCTGGACAGAGAGTGGCGCCTGTGCAGCCATCCTCTGGACAGAGAGGCGCACTGTCAGCCATCCCTGGACAGAGAACGGCGCCTGTCGCAGCCATCCCTGGACAGAGAACGGCGCCTGTCGCAGCCATCCGCTGGACAGAGAGGCGCCTGTGCAGCCATCCTCTGGACAGAGAACGGCGCCTGTCGCAGCCATCCCCTGGACAGAGTGGCGCCTGTGCAGCCATCCTCTGGACAGAGAACGGCGCCTGTCGCAGCCATCCCTGGACAGAGAGTGGCGCCTGTCGCAGCCATCCCTGGACAGAGAGTGGCGCCTGTAGCAGCCATCTGGACAGAGAGGCGCCTGTCGCAGCCATCCGTTGGACAGAGAGTGCGCCTGTCGCAGCCATCCCGCTGGACAGAGTGGCACCTGTGTCAGCCATCCCCTGGACAGAGAACGGCGCCTGTCGCAGCCATCCCCTGGACAGAGAGGCGCCTGTGCAGCCATCCGCTGGACAGAGAGTGGCGCCTGTAGCAGCCATCCCTGGACAGAGAGTGGTGCCTGTGGCAGCCATCCGCTGGACGAGAAAGGCGCACTGTCACAGCCATCCGCTGGACAGAGAGTGGCGCCTGTAGCAACCATCCGCTGGACAGAGAGTGGTGCCTGTGGCAGCCAGCCGCTGGACAAAGTGGCGCCTGTGGCAACCATCCGCTGGACGGAGTGGCACCTGCGGCAGCCATCCGCTGGACGGAGTGGCACCTGTGGCAGCCATCCGTTGGACAGAGAGTGGCACCCGTCGCAGCCATCTGCTGGACAGAGAGTGGCGCCTGTAGCAGCCATCCGCTGGACAGAGTGGTGCCTGTGGCAGCCATCCGCTGGACGAGTGGCGCCTGTGGCAGCCATCCGCTGGACAGAGAGTGGTCCTGTGGCAGCCATCCGCTGGGCGGAGTGGCACCTGTGGCAGCCATCCGCTGGACGAGTGGCGCCTGTGGCAGCCATCCGCTGGACGGAGTGACACCTGTGGCAGCCATCCGCTGGACGGAGTGGCGCCTGTGACAGCCATCCGCTGGACAGAGTGGCACCTGCGGCAGCCATCCGCTGGACAGAGTGGCACCTGTGGCAGCCATCCGCTGACCCCCACCGCGCCGGCGCCTGCGGCCCTCATAGCACTCCTCATGGCACCAGTGCCGGTGGTCCTCGTGGCACCAGTCCAGGTGGCCCTCACGGCACCAGTGCCGGCGGCCCTCATGGCACCAGTGCCGGCGGCCCTCATGGCACCAGTGCCAGTGGTCCTCATGGCACCAGTGCCGGTGGCCCTCATGGCACCAGTCCAGGTGGCCCTCACGGCACCAGTGCCGGTGGCCCTCATGGCACCAGTGCCGGCGGCCCTCATGGCACCAGTGCCGGCGGCCCTCATGGCACCAGTGTCGGTGGCACTCACGGCGCCGTGCACCGTTGCAGAGGTGGACGCGCGGCCCTGGGACTATGAGGCGGAGGAGGGCGCCCTGCGCACCAAGGTGGACCGCTTCATCACGCGCCGCTACAACCCCGAGCATACGGTAACAGGCTGCCACCCCCTCACGGATCTGGACAGGGGGGGGGGGGGTCTGTAACATGGCGGCGGCGCTGATGAGCTGCGTGGCATGTTACGGTTACTGAGGGCGGGCTCGGTGGTGTTTTCTGCTGCGTGATGCCGGTATGTCTCCCTGGCTGATCACTCCGTTATGGAGAAGCGCGCTGTGAGTGTTGTGAACGGACGCGGAGCATCTCAAGCGCAGGCGGCGGCGGCTGTAAGCCGCGCTCGTGCGGTCCGGTCGCTGACGTTGACGGCGCCGGCAGGCGGAGCTGGAGCCGCTGGAGCCGGAGCTCGAGCTCGAGCTCGAGATCGAGCCGACCGGCCGCGAGATGGAGCTGACGGCCGAGTTCAAGGCCAAACTACCGGCGCTGGCTGGAGACAGAGGTGTTCCAGCAGAGCATCGACTGGGACACGCTGATCGAGCCCGGCTACATGGGCTGACCTGAGCAGTGTCCGTTGGGTCGAGGCGCCGCCTGAGCCACGGCGGGGTCGTCGTCCTCGGGCGCTGTACAGTTTTGGGCGGGTCACACAGTCGCTTTTTATGGCTGTGCCGAGCGCCGCTTGGATGGTTGTGTGGCATCGCTGACAGCTTTGAATAATTTGCAGCGCAATGAGAATTGGATGGGAGGAAACCAAAGAAGTCCCTTACGCCTCTTTGACGAGGATCAGTGCAACTCTTTAGACTCCGTAATTGCACATTGGAACGCCCCGAGCGGCTGGCTGGAGGGTAGGGTGGTAGGTGATATCCATGGTACTAGTGGTTAACATTATGATGGTTATCCTTGCACTAAGTATGCACTTGAATGTCTGCTTATTGATAACCCAGAGCTTAAGCTCCCGCCATTAAGGCGACCAAGTTACTCGGAGTAGCCGTAGAGCGAGGGGCCGCGCCTCGAACCCAGTCATCTAGCAATGCAGCGCCTGGGCAGGCGGTGTTTTAATCTCGTAGTCTAAGCGAGCCGTGATCACGTGATCGCGGCCCTGCGGCGGCCTATGCGCTGAGTGTTCCCTACGTGACCGCGGGGCTTCCGCCGCAACCCGTGCCTTACATCGAGCGATCCGGCGCCGGAGGACCCCCGGATGCGGCCCCCGCCGGCGCCGGCCCACCTGTCACCTCTAGTCAGACCGCGCGCGCGGAACGCCTCGGCCGCCCCGCCCCCCGCCCCTGCCTGCGTTTTGTAACGTTTGGATACTTTGAATACAGGAGTTGCGAGCGACGGCGGCTGTTGTGGCGCGCACGGCCGGCTTGCGCTGTCCGGCTGCGCTTTGCAGACTACCGGCCGCTGGCCGCTACAGAAAGCTGGGATGGGAGCTTGCGTGGCTTTCAGCTGCGCGGTGTGGAATTCTGGACTGTGATCCATTTAGTTTCACAGACCTTAAGCTTGATGTTGATAAATTGTTTTGATGAACAATTCTCTTTCTTTATTTGGCAGCGGATTTGCCGATGGCTCCAGGGCCGGGATCCGAGGGGAAATCAGCATGATTCCGGCGGTACCCACACAAAGTTGAATGGAAATAAGTCGGAAGATGATAATCGAATGAGTAGGTCAAATTAGGAAGAAGCCAAAGAGAGAAATTAGAAGGGATAAGAGTTATAAGGGAAAGTCAATGGACAAAAAGTCAAAAGGACTAAAGTCGACCTGGATAAAGGTCCAATCGACGATAGTCGACGAAAAGGGTCAGAGTTAGATCGATCTCGAAATATAAGGGGTCAGGGTCAGCAGGGGTAGGAGTGGGATTTGTAAATGATATCGCTGGCAGCAAATCGACGTGTATAAACGTCGATTGGGGGGGATCAAGTCAACAAGTAGGTAGCGGAAAGGATTTGTGGCGGGGGAGCTTGATGCTGTGACGTCCGGCCTAACGGGAAATGCTGCCAACTGCGCTCGAATGCGTCCCCGGATTCCATGGGTGTCGCTACCTCGGGGCCCTGGGTCTTCTCATTAGGGCCCGCCCGCGCCCCCGGCCGCCGCTCCCGACACGAAGCCAGCCTTGGCGACCGGGCCATAAGCAGCGCGCCCGAAGCCTATCAGGTAGCCAATCTCCTATGGGTAGCATGCTAGCCTTGGTCTAGGCCCACGAGCATTCCGCTAGCCATTTACTAGGGTGGTTTAGCGCAAGGCTCTGGTCTGTGGTTTCCTCTGGTGTTTTGGTTCCCACTTGGAAAGTGCTTATCAATGTTTCACACGGGTCGACTTACACCCTTGCGTTAATTTCAGATTCGACTTTTATCCCTGTCGACTCTGGTCCTTTGATTTTTGTCCTTTGACTTTCCGATTCAATCTATATCCCTATCGAATTTTAACGTTTGACTTTTGTCCGGACACCGCCTTAGGCTCACGTGCGATTTAAAAATGACGGTGTCGTACTTCTGCGTTACTGAGCTCGCCACAGGAGATAGCAGCCACAGTGGGGCTCGCCTCGCAGCGGGAGAATTCAACGCCCGGCAGTATGGTGCCCCCGAAAGTAAATGGTGGAATGTCTTCAACGCCTACGGTCGACGACAATAAAGGGCACGGATATAGCGACGGTGGAACGTTGAGGGTTATGCACAGTGGGACACGCTCTCATCTCAGACAGAACATGCCTGGAGTCCGGCGTGGGCAATCTGGAGATGCGAGCGGGTACGGTATTGGCGGCTGCATCTTCGGTGTTGGGCGCGGTCGCACGCCGCTGGATGCCTTGCTGGAAGTTCCACAACAATCACCTGCCCCATGTCATGAAGAATGTCGCTGTCTGATGTCGGCTACTTCTCACTTGCGTTATCTCACCTGACGCATACTATGGAAGGTGGTAGTCCGTCCCAAATCGCAAACTAATCAGATTTTTTTATCGGCGGTCGATCGGAGCCGCCACTGGTTGAGGGTCCTCTGCTCCGAGTAAACTTGTTCAGAAGTTGTGCGGAACCGTGCTAGAGATCCATGACATTATGAAGGTGTTTGAACGGTGGCATGTGTGATGATAGGAAGATGCTGCTGCTGTTGTACCGAACACTCATCCTCTCCAAAATTGGTTTTGGTGGTCATAGGGCCTAGGAACAGGGGGGCCAGGGGGGCCATGCCCCCACTTTTTCAAAGTGGGGGGCCAGCATGTTGACTCCCCCCCCCCCCCCTTTTCAGATTAAGGTTTGCATTTCCTTACTTTTGCACCACATTAAACATGCATGCCGATTTTACCTATCCACCAGCCACCTCCCCCCGTAAGATGCGGCCCATCTTTTTTCGTTTGCGTATTGGT